ATACACAGCAGACAAAGGGAGAAGCTAAGGCCCTGTTTACACGAGAACGCTCGCGGGTGAAAACGTAAAAATATTTTATCGGATGTGCCTTTCGTTTACACGGCGACGGCGTTTTTGAGGTTAAAAACGCAAAAAAGTGAAACCACCCTCCAGAGTGGAAATCTTATAAAACGCTCCACCGCCGCGTTCCCGTGTAAACGGTAAAAACGCAAAAGTCTGCTTGACAGTGCAGGTTGTACGCAGGCGCGTAGACTTGGTGTTTTTGTAGTACGCACTCCTAGCCACCTGAAGTGCATACTACATTGAATTTCACACACTTTTGCGTCACCATTTGCACGCGGATTTCGCACACAAAACGCTCGTCTAAACGCAGAATAAAAAGTGATGACGCGACGGCACTTTTGCGTTTTCTCTTCAGAATCGTTTCCATGTAAACATAGCCTAAAAAGACACACCTGAACTCAGAGGATCTCAATCAATTAGAAACCATGGAGACTAATAGGAAGAGAACAGAGGAGAACTGAACTAATTAACAGACTTGAAGATTACCAAAGAAACTCAAACATGAACAAAACAGAGAAACAGATCAAAAGAAAAACTCAAAATGTTACTGTTTGTGTAATATTAACAAATTAATTACATGATATTTTGATTAATCAATAAAATTGACTGGTTATATGCATCTCATATTTCAATACTTGTGAGATATTAAAGATCAAGTTGATGCATTTTATTGTGCAACAGCAGAGCAATAATGAATAGACAAAAATGTTTGACAGAGGTTAAGTGTTTTGTTTAAAAATTCATACCTGCACTTTTTTTTATATTAATACAATTCATTATTTGTTTTTAATTAAATAATCGATGTCACTAGTGTCTCAAGCCATGATGTCAAATTAAAAACTGTCCAATTAAGTTGATGCATTTTATTGTGCGACAGCAGAGCAATATTGAATAGACAAAAATGTTTGACAAAGAGGTTAAGTGTTTTGTTTAAAAAAAAACACACCTGCACTTTTTTTAATATTAATACAATTCATGATTTGTTTTTAATTAAATAATCGATGCCACTAGTGTCTCAAGCCATGATGTCAAATTAAAAACTGTCCAGCTCTCAGAGCTTAATATTGTGCCTTAATATTTTTATTATGTAGTAAATGTTTTATCAAAACAATTTTTGTACTGTGAAAATTGTCATGTCTGAAAGGGTTGCAATGCCCTTTAGCTGTGATTTTATTCAAAATTTAGTGTAGGCCTAATATTCATAATATTCCATCAAGACTATCAACACATGAAGAGTTCAGATGCAAAAGCCTCTAAATGCCATTTGAAATTTTCTTCTTTAATGACGATTTTTATCAAACTTGTATATTTAAGTTCAGTAATTTCACTTAAATAACAATTAATAGGTAATTATCATTGCCATTTAAGTGAAATTACTGAACTTAAATATACAAGTTTGATAAAAATCGTCATTAAAGAAGAAAATTTCAAATGGCATTTAGAGGCTTTTGCATCTGAACTCTTCACATATCTTTTAATTTTAAAATATGTTATTTTGATCGAAGATCATGAAGTCATTTTAGCAATGATTTCTCAGTGTTCACGAACTGGGTAATCCTACTGCATGGTCTTTTAACTTCTCTAGTACATTCATTATAGCATATTTTGTCTGCATTTGATGTTCTTATTTGGCATCATGACTGGATTTTACAGATGAAAACCTGGATGGCCCCAAGTGATACAGTAATGTCAGGTCATCGGATTTAACTTTACTTTCCCTAAATGTAGTGGTGTGATCGTCTTAACAGAGATTAAGGTGGTCAGCTGAGGTAAATCTGTCTGATTCACTCTTCCTGTTCATGCCGTCTGCCGTCAAGCAGACTACAGTGCCGTTTATTTTTCTTGACCTGCCACAGAAGCTGTTAAATTATGCATTTACTCATTAAATAATGCTTTGAATACATGGGGTGCCAAAGACATATGATACAAATAATAAGCTATAGAAAAATTGTGAACTTATATAAAAAAAAAGACTAGAAACTAATTTCTTGGCTGGCATTGATGTAAATGCGATGTTTTTTCTGTCTCTTTCTCCTGCAGTATAAATGACTTTGTATGTTTACCACAGCACAAAGCATCAAACATTTATGACGCAGCCAGACGGAAGAGCTGTAAAGTATCAGTAGAATGAGGTGCGGCAAACAGAGCTCTCTGTAGCTCTACAAAACACGATGCCCGAGAGACCTTTGAGGAAGCTCAAACCTGCTATTTAAAGAGTTGTCAATGCTTTTTAAAGAGATTGTTCACCCAAAAATATAAACTATGTCATAATTTATTCACCCTCATATCATTCTAAACCTGTATTATTTACAGAAAAGGAGATACTTTGCAGAATGTTCAAGCTGTTCTTTCCATACATTCTAACATAGTTTTGACTATATTCTGTCAAGCTTAAAGAAAATTCAAAAAATAAAAATAAATGCAGTCAATTTGGCACATCTGCTGTATTCCAAGTAATCTGATAACATATGATAACTTTGTGTTCTTAAACATTGTTTTCTCATATATGAACATTTTTTGCATTACTTTCACTTACATTACCATTCAAGTTTTGAGTTGGTAAGATTTTTTGAATGCTTGTAAAATAAGCCTTTTCTTTAGTTTACTCTCAGTCGAGAACATCAAACGTATTCGACTGAATGGGGATCACGCTAGGGAGCCACTCGTCTTCGAGTACTATTGAACCAGCCAATGAAATTGGCATGCGTGATGACATCACACACTCCGGCCCCACGGCGCGGGTATAAATACGGAAGTGGATGCACGCACTAGACTAGTTGCCTATCGCTTGGATGTCTGTGAAGAGTCCAGTTGGTTTCAACGAGCGAGTGTGTCGGTGAGTGTGTCGTTCTTGTCCCGCTCTCACGGTCACAAAAGCTGTGTCGCATGTTTGGGCTTACAGCATGCTGAGGCAGCTCTTGTGGATGAGTCATGTTCCCATTGTGGGAATATGAACATCTCGGTGTTGAGATAGAGACTTATCTTAGTACAGACCGCCTCTTGGCCCAGCCCTGGTCTTTCTTCTGGGTTACCTTCCCAGAGGAAGACTGGGGTGCCATCCAAGCTGGGTGATCTGAGGATCACAGTGAGGGGTAATCGGCCCAGCAATTCCCCGTGGATCCCTCACTCTTCTTCCGCAACCGGTGGAGGTCCCCAATGAATCTGCTGGTCCCACTAGAGTGGACCGTCCAGGAGTTTCATTTTGGGTCCCTCCAGGGGATTGTATGTCTATTGCAGCATGGGATGGGGAGCTGAACTCTGGAGATGGAGATTTCCCCAGCCCATTCTCACCCCCAAGGCGTCACTTAACTGACGCCTTGGGAAGCATTTGACCATGCTTCAATATCTGACGCTTTAGTTAGATGACGCCCTAGGATCGCGTGTACCCTACCCCCACCCCACACCTAAACCTAACCGCGTCCTCTAACCGACGCTTTCCTTTAGCGTCAGTTAGATGACGCCGTAGGATCGCGTCATGTAAGTGACGCTAGAGGGCGCCTAAAACGTCAAATATTGAAGCATGGTCAAAGGTGACGCCTTGGGGTGAGAATGCGTTGGATTTCCCAGTACATTCAGCATCTGGCTCACATTCGCGATCTCAAACATATTCTCAAAACTATCATTTTTTTAACATCTTCAAATTGAATATTTTTATCGCTGACAGCTTTTTCAACACATCTACCATCGAGTGGCAGTTACACTAATATTTGATTCTTTCAGTACTTACTCTGCAGTAAATTGCTGAGCCATTTAAAGTTTTGCTGATGATACTTTATATTCTTTTGTTTTCTACCTGTGATAAGAGTATCAGACATGATCACCTTGTGGAATAAAGGTGAATTGCACTTATTCAGTCATCAAAGATTCAATTATTGCTGTGCAGAAGAAAAAAAAAATATTTACACTGTTACACACCTCAGGTTCCCAAAAATAATGGGAAAACAGGCATTCTTCTATAATTGTATTATTTATTCTAGTTAGCCTATATAATGAATTGATTGAGGAATACTAAGAAGGTTGATGTTAACTTAAAAAAAAAAATGAATAAGGAAGAGGGTAGTGAATGACATCCTGGGTCACTAAAGATTGTTTAAGGGTCAAACTAACTGTTTTCTATCTTAGAATTTTATATATTAAAATGTAATTTATTCTAGCTGAATAAATAGCTGAATTTTCTGGTCCAGTCTCCAGTGTCACATTATCCTTCAGAAATCATTCTAATATGCTGATTTCGTGATCAATAAACATATTTTGTTATTATCAATGTTGAAAACTGTTGTGATGTTTAATATTTTTAATTAATTTATTTATTTATTTATTTATTTTTTTTTTTTGTGGAAACCACGATGCATTTTTTCCAGGATTTTTTAAGGAATAAAAAGTTAAAAGAGCATATATTATTTGAAATAAATATGTTTTGTATCACAATTTTTTACTGCCAGTTTTGATTAATTTAATGTGGACGAATAACCACATTCATTTCTTTCAAAATAAAAATCTTATTGATAGAAACTTTTGAATGCTAGTGTGCATTGCAGTTGCTTTTGATGTGATTGATGTAAAAACTGAAGGGCGTGTGTCATTTTAAATTATTAATGACTTAACTTTCACGATATCTAAGAAATTGTATGACTTCAAAAGACTTGAAAAATGGCAAATGAGGACATTTTTGTCCTTTTCGGAGCTTGAGAGCCACTGATTTCTGCCTTCTCTCGTTGTATGGACAATAGCAGCTTAGAAAATACACTGCAAATGACTGTGATTTAATGTCTTAGAAAGAATACATAATTAAGCCCCCTTTGAAGCAGTGATAACAATAACAATCTATAATTATATAATAATGTGATGCATAGAATGAAATAATAATACACAGATTTGGTAAATCTAAGTGGGTCTGCTTTAGGGATGTGTTGATAGTAACTGTCTTCCTCCCTTAGGGTACGCTTGCCAGTAAAGTGCGCTACAGAGTGGATCAGGATCTGTCACCATACAGTGGAAGTATCTTTGATGTAGAGACTGACACAGGAAGAGTTATCACCAAAGTCAACCTGAATGAGCAACCCAACACCATTTTCAAGGTGAGTCTGGGCCGACAGCCTGTTTTTCTACTGTTATGCACCTCACTTGTGTCAAAAAATCCAGTTTGAATCTAGCCTGGTGTGATTTAAAGTGCCCCTATTATGCTTCTTTAGTTTATTAGCTTTCATGTAGCGTGTAACATAGCTCGCTGTTTGTGAATGTAAAAGGCCTGGGAAGTAAAAGTAAAAGTCCACAAAAAATGGAGTTATCCTAAAAGAAAGAACGATTCCGAACTGCCTGAAAAGAGTCGTCAGTAATTCAAGTCTCACTTACTAGTAGTAAAACCTAAAATTAAAAGTATAAACTAAATTAGCATAATGCCAGGCTACGGTCTTCATTGGTTGCTCACGAACAATGTCTACTTTAGCCATCAAACACTGCTCTGATTGGTCAGATGGCCTAATATGCATTAGGTATCGTGAACTAACAATGAACCACGTTTACTGCATTTTTTTTTAATTAAGGTTAATGTTACCTTATTACATTTTCATTGTTAATTCATGTTCGTTCATAATACAGTAAATAATACATTAAATAATGTTAAAATGTACTTGAAATGTATAAATTAACATTATTTAACTGTATTAAACTTGAAATGTGCTGTAGAAACGCTGCAGTACTGTTCATTTTTAGTTCTGAACCTCTTTCTAAAGTGTATCACTTTCATGTTATTGAAATTCAACATCAATCAAACGTTTTGCTGAACGGAGGTCAGTTTGAATCTCAGTCTAATGTTTTAAGATTATGAGAATTGGAAATGATTTGTCAGATGGCCGCCAATAAAACACCAGCATGAATTTTCATGTCAAGTGTCCAGTTGCGCAAATGGATGCTTTATAAGCAATAGATTTTGCTCTATGTCATACTTTTCTATGAATGAGTCACGCAATTATACTGTTGTCAACCAGAACAGAATTGTGTTGTCTCTCATGATGGAAAAAACACAAAACACAACAATGACACTATAAAATGTTTATTTATAGCAGTCTATCTCAAGTCCAATTAGGCCTATCTCCAATGACAAATGGTGTTCTTCAGGGTCAGTGATTTATCATTGTCCATTAAAAAAGAGGGGGAGTCATTGGATTAAAATGATAACAATTGCGTATGTGTATTTCTGATATAACATTCACAGACTCGTGAACTCTTTAGTTACTGTCTCCTCCACAATGACCTGAATCAATACATAAATTAATTAGCCTAACGTTAAGTGAGATTAAATCAATTTACCATTGAGCAAATGTAGGTTTTACCGTGTTCATTTGGGAATAGTGGCTGACAAGTTGTTTAATCAATAAAATGCACATCTACATTTTTTTTTAAGATTTAGAAAAGGCAGCATTCATCCTCTCTGTATACTTCGTGCCACTATAAAGTGCCTGAGCAAAATAAATAAATAAATAAATAAATAAAAGTAGACATGTTTGTCTGTCTGTAAAATAATATGTTAGACAGCAGTGTTTTTTTTAATAAATATTTAAAGCTAAAAAAAATGTTTTTGTGTGTGGCTCAATGATTATGGTTCAATTATGTCCAATGTAATAAAAATGTTAATTGTTTTTAATATATGTGCAGTTTATTTGTTCAGATGTTGATTTCAAATAGATTGAGGGAAAAAAAATATTATAGCATTTTCAAGAAATAAAATTAATTAGGAATGGCTACATGTTTTAACAATTTTAAGTGAAAAACACACATGTGTGTTCCAACTTTATTATACTATACAATATATACGTATATGTATATATATATATATATATATATATATATATATATATATAACGCTATTTTATAATGTATACTATATAATATATACCAATTCAATTCATGAGTGTACCAACTTTATTTTTAAACAAGTTTTAAAGTAAAATAAAATACATACATACATACATACATGCATACATAGATTTAATACAATTTACACAAACCTTTATTTTACAGAGGAAATATACCAATTCAATTCTAGAATTCTACACCAATTCTAGAATTACTCCCTTCTGGAGAAGATGTAAAGCCTGCCATAAATGACTCAATGCTGGGTTGTTACGTTTGACAATGGAGCTGGATAACACAAAAATGTTTTTATGGAAAAACAAATCACCTATACGAGTAAATTGGTCGTATTAAAGTCTTAGAGTAATGGTGGTCTGGATTTTATCGATTTTGATTCCCTCAACAAGACATTTAAAACTAATGGGCTGAATCAATCAAAACCAGCTTCTATTTGGAATGTTTATTATGACATATCTACTCTTCCAATCAAACTTTACAACTTTCATCAACAGGTTCTCTGAGCATGGGCTCTAATTCATAAAGAATAGTTTTTCTTTGGAACAATAATAACAATTTATTCAAGAAGAAACCTTTATTTTATGTTAATTGGTTTAGTAATGGTTCTCTTTTGGTGGAGCAGTTGTTTAATAATCAAGGTCTTTTGTTCATATACTCACAGTTTCTCCAAATACCAAATATCAATAATAACCCCAAACGAATTTACAACAGTTATGGAAGCTATTGCATATCGTGGTTTGTGTATGCTATTTAAAAACTGTAATCACTCTTCATTTCTACTGCATATTTTCCTAAACCTTGTGATACACCTATTGGTCAAATTTGTTTTTGAGTTGAGAGCCAAAAAAAATTATAAAATAAGATCTTTATTTCTTAAGAAATTGATTTCTGTAATCTCATTTTTTTATTCATTTGTTTGATAACCTTGATTGGAAAATGTCAAGTGTAGGATTTTTGTCAAGTTTTTGTCAAGTGCCAGGCTTCTCAATACATCTGAAAACATTGTATTTGGGTAGTTTGACTCAACATAAATGATATATTTAATATACATTTATTTTTATTATACAAAGTAATTAATTTGAATGTTACGTTCACAAATGCATACTGTCAAACTGTAAACCTGTCTTCAGTCTTCTTAAAAGAAATGGAAAATTACTTGAATGCAATCTGCTAATAAGTTACTGTATATATAATGTTATATATAGTTAACGTTTTGTAGCTGTAAAAACGTAATAATGTTACGGTTAAAGGTTGCAGATACGTCCATATATTATATGTTTCAGCATCTGTCCAAACGCACTAAAAAGTACGTTTTCTATCTTTGCAAAAACGTAAAATACCTACGTATTAACAATGTGACCAGGCTGTATATATTTATGATATAGAATGTACGTAAATAGTTAACGTTTTGTAGCTGTAAAAACGTAATAATGTTACGTTTTAAGGTTGCAGATACGTCCATATTATATGTTTCAGCATCTATCCAAACGTACCAAAAAATACGTTTTCTATCTTTGCAAAAAACGTAAAATACTAACCCAATCTCACGACCAAGTCGTACGAATTCGACGAATGATTAAAAAGTGGCTAATTCGTAACAATTCATACGACCTCACTCGTACGAATTAATACGATTTTGCTAAATCGTACATATTTTACCAATTGGCCAATTCGTATGAATTCGTACGAATGACCTACCCCTGACCCCGCCCCTAAACCTAACCATCACGTGGGTTTAGACAAATCGTACGAATTAGTACGAGTGAGGTCGTACGAATTAGACACTTTTTAATCATGCGTCGAATTCTTACGAATTGGTCGTGAGATAATGTTGGATGTTTGCAGCGCCATTGTACAACGTTCTTGAACGAATAATTTGTTAGCTGCATGCTGGTCTGTTATCGTAGGGACATTGACTTTGCATTTTCACGCCCCTAAACGTGACGTGGAACGGAACAAACTGCGATTGGTTGCTCTACACGTTGATGAGACGTTTTCTTGGGCAGTCTTTGGCAAATGAAAGCTGATAATAATGTGTTTTAATTTTCTCATAATTTCACATAGCTGGTGGTCATCGCCTATGATGATGGAGAGCCGGTGAAGATGAACAGAACCACTGTGGAAATCACTGTGCTTCAGCCCTCCAGGATTCCCATCTTCACTGAGGAAGAGTACAGGTGGGTGCCGTTGTCTGTAGAGAGCAAAGGAACAGACGTTTACTTATTTATGACATGTTCTCTTTGAGCTCTGTGAGTCAGAATTAGTTTAGCACATATTCCCTGCAGGCTGATTCTGAATCTCTGCATGAGTAATGAGTGTTATCTGTGAGTGTGACTAGAATTGCAGGCAGGTTGACTATGACTATGGAGCTGGTCCACAGTTCTCAGATGCGGCTTGTCAGTAATGTGAATGTTGAAGAGTCTGGATTAGCATGACAGGGGCTTTAAAATTTAATGTTAGAGAAGTTTTTTTTTTATTTTATTTTGATTAATAAAGACACAAAGGGCCAGATTTACTAAACAGGGCAAATTAGCGCAAGAGCACAATTTCAAAAAAGCGCAGATGGGAGTGGAGATTTCTACGCGTGAGCTACACCTACCAAGAGCAGTGCGAATTAGCATCTGGTTTAAGACATGCTTTTTTTGGCCAGTAAATAATGGCACAGACACCAGTAAATTGATTTTGCATATGAAAGGGAAATCTCTTCAAATGCACATGCAATAAGGTCAGCCACAAAAAATCACTGTCCATGCCTTTTCATCGCTAATTTTTTACTGCGTGTCTTTAGTAAATCCTGACTGTAGTTTTTTTTTTTTTTTTAAGGGATTCTCCACTTTTTTTGGAAATAGGCTCATTTTACCACTCCCCCAGAGTTAAAAAGTTGAGTTTTACCGTTTTCGAATCCATTCAGCCGATTTTCTGATATTTAGAAGAATATCAGTAACCAGACAGTTTCTGGTCTCATTGACTTCCATTGTAGGAAAAAAATGGAAGTCAATGGCCTCGTTTACACTGCATGGTTCAAGTGACCCAAATCCGATTTTTTCCTCTCATGTGGCACAGATCGGATATGACCGGTGAATGTGTAAGCAGGAAAAAAACGCATGGATTGGATCGGATTCAGGCCTCATTCATATGTGGTCATAAATCGGATATGAATCGGATACGTGCATTTGAGTGTGCCATGTAAGCAGACAAATCGGATATTCCCCAGTAAATGCGAGTCATGCGTCATTAAAAACTGCGCGATTATAGGCGCGAGCCTATCGGATTTGGGCATCAAGACCTGCAGTATAAATGCAGCCAATTAGACCAGAAACTGTCTGGTTACTGATATTCTTCTAAATATCAAAAAATCGTCTGAATGGATTCGAAAACGGTAAAACTCACATGTTTAACTCTGGGGGAGTGTTAAAATGAGCCTATTTCCAAAAAAGTGGAGTATCCCATTAACACCAAAAGATGGTTTGCGCTGTAAAACAATGAAATCATAATGTCTCAAACTTTCATGTTAATTTTAGCTTTTAATTTCTAAACCAATTTGTCTAGAAACATTTTTATTTTGTCTGATACCTTAGAACAACTGACCAGATTTTCAACCAATTTGAGTTGTGAAACCTTTTCTTCACACTTTCTCACACGTTTTCCCTTTTTTGAATCTTCTACCTTTTGTTTTTAAACACAATATATATTTTGGTAACACTTTAGAATACGGTTCCTTCGTTAATGAATAACTACACAAGAACTAATGAGTAACACAATATTAACAATCTAGTAACTATTATTAACTAACAAGAAACTCTGATTAACGAACTAGTATGTAGCTCACAGATGAAAGTGGTAGTTCACTATTAAGTAATCAATAACTACTATTTTTTAATACCTCCCAGAGAACAACTGAAAAAGTTTATTAACAATCTAGTAACTACTATTAACTAAAAGAAATTCTTATTAACGAATTAGTAAGTAATAGCTCACAGATGAAAGTGTTACTAGATACTTCTGCGGGAATTACTAATTATTTGGATTACTCAAGTGTTACTAAAGACATTTTCTAAAAGTTACTAAAGTTCACCAAAATATCTCAAACATTTGCACAAATCATGACTAGATCATGTAGTAACACTTGAGTAATTACTAGTTAGTTCCAATGATCTTCACTTTATAATACGGATCCAAATAATTAGTAATTCCCACAGAAGTATCTAGTAACACTTTCATCTATGAGCTATTACTTACTAATTATTTCGATCCGCATTATAAAGTTAAGATCATTGGAACTAACTAGTAATTACTCAAGTATAACTAAAGGCATTTTCTAAAAGTTACTAAAGTTCACCAAAAATTTCAAACATTTGCAAAAATCATGACTAGATCATGTAGTAACACTTGAGTAATTACTAGTTAGTTTCAATGATCTTCACTTTATAATACGAATCCAAATAATTAGTAATTCCCACAGAAGTATCTAGTAACACTTTCATCTGTGAGCTATTACTTACTAATTCGTTAATAAGAGTTTATTTTAGTTAATAGTAGTAACTAGATTATTAATAAACTTTTTCAGTAGTTCTCTGGGAAGTATTAAAAAAATAGTAGTTATTGATTACTTAATAGTGAACTACCACTTTCGTCTGTGCGCTGTTACTTACTAGTTCGTTAATCAGAGTTTCTTGTTAGTTAATAATAGTTACTAGATTGTTAATATTGTGTTACTCATTAGTTCTTGTGTAGTTATTCATTAACGAAGGAACCGTATTCTAAAGTGTTACCTATATTTTTTATACTATATTATATTAGGTAATTATTTCGCAACCTTTATTGCATCTTGGAAAAATACAGAGGTCTGTTCCTCTGTTCCTCAGTGACCTCATACTGGATATTGCCATGCCTTGGACAGCATAATCTATGTCTGTATATTTTCACCAGGTAAAAACTCTTGCCGCTTTACCTTTAGCGTCAGTTAGATGACGCCCTGATCGCGTCATGTAACTGACGCTAAAGGGTGTCTGAAGCGTCAGATATTGAAGCATGGTCAAAATTGTCAGTTAGATGATGGGATGGGAATGCGTTGAAATATTTGTGTTTGTTGCATTCTCATTTTCTTCAAGATTTTAGCAAAAGTATCTATTTTGCTGCTCACCGTGTTTCATCTACTGTTGTTAAAATAACTTCGTCATCTTTAGCTCTTATTGTGGCGCTTTACGTCTGTAGCGGAAAAGAGAATCACCGAGCACAGAATGGAAAAGGCTTGAATGAAGCGAGTTTGGGTCCATATAAAATATTGGAGAATGTAGCACAGAAAGAGCATTACCGTAAATACCCTAATCGCTTATGGTGTGTACTGCTCTGTTGTTTTAAAGGGGTCATGAACTGGCTTTTTAAATTGTATTATATTGTTGTCTGAGGTGAACTTATGACGTTCGCTTGGTTTTTGCATTCAAAAACATCAAAATGAATAAGTAATAGGCTGTTTTCTACCCTAGTTTTGAGCCCAGCTCAGAAACGCCCGGTTTTTATGGGCATCTCGCACTGAAGACTTGGAAGTAACCGCCCACTGCTGTGAGTGGAGAACAGTTTTGCGTATTGTAATGAGTTTCTATTCACCTCTTCGATGTACGTGGGGAAAATTGTGTTGAAAACGTCCAATGATGTAAGATGGCAACCGGAAAGATTCGCCCATACATGTTTGACCCACTGTATAGACGGCACAGCACCGTCCTTTAATCTTAATTGGTCTGCAAATCCAGTCTTGTTTACAAAACAATCCTCAGTGAAATGAAGCGAACAGACGGACGATGTTTTATCATCAGCTGGAACGTAATTAAAAATAAAATTTATCAATGCAGTCCTATTGGAATCCAGAGGAAGTATATGCAGCGACTGTCTTCTTCCAAAACCAGGCACTGCACAATATTCTGTATTGCTCGGTAGTTCGATCCGGTTTGTCATCACGAGGTAGGCCTTTGTTATTTAGCTATGCGTGTAATGTGCGAATCGGTGGGCGGCGCTAAACCGACCCTGTTGAAGTACTGTAGGTGTTGATCTTCTTCTGCGGGGGTGGTGTTTTATCCTCTTTGACGTCATAGTTCCCCACGTTGAAAAACGAGTTGTTTGCTGAGCCTGGTGTCAATAAAAGCTTTTATTGGACTAACAAGGACTTTTTCAGTTCTGAAACTTACAGGATATTCTTATAATATGATGACCTCTTAAGCCTAGTTCACACTACATGATTTTAAAACGTCGGGCTGAACTGTGCGGTTCACACTACAAAACTTGCTCTCAGTGAAATCAAGACTGTTCAAGTTTTTAGCTGTTCACACCACACAACACAACGTGATTGATCCACAACAGGAGGTAACTTACTACACGAGTTGACAATGCACTACATAGAGATACAACCACGATCGGATGATAAGAGCAAATCATTTGTGACTCAATGAGAGCTGTTTCAGTACTATGCTATGGTCTAAATCCTGAAAATAATCAAATAAATAACGAGTTGACAACAACTCTGTCACTCAACGATTTTATCTTGTCTACAAACCACGTTTTGTCATGAAAAAACATGCAGTAAATAAATAAATATTGCGCCAATTATACCCAGCGAAGAAGAGAACACAACACGTGAATATGGACGTCAGACAGAAACTAGTGCTGCACACTGTTTGCGCTACGATCTTCTCTGAGGAAAACAATGCAAAAAAAAAAAGAAAAAAAGAGAAGATTTACCTGGTGTCCTCAACCTACTGTATGCGTTGCTATGATTGGCTGTACCCATGACATCACTGAGTTTGAGTCGCGCGACGGCTCTGGATATTATTTTCTGGGCTCGGCGACGAGTCTGTGAGGCATCTGCGAGCGTTTTCGCTGCGTTGTTGGCTCTTTCATACCAACAGATTGGCAAGCGTTCATCGTCCGCTAAACCTGTTGAATACCACTGGAGAAAAACATCCAATGCCTTCAGAAAGTATTTAGACCCCTAGAAATGGGCCTTTTATATGTATTCAGGCATTTTATGTGGTACTTTGTAGTGGTGACTTGGGCGGCAATTACAGAATTGAGTTGTCTTTTTTGTTCTAGCAGACAATCCACTGGGATTTTACCTGTTTCTCTGTGAGATTGAGTGTGACTGTCATTATTGATGTGACCAACTTAAACCCAGGTCATTCAGGAT